GAAATCACACGGAGTAAGATCAGGCGATCGGGACGGCCAGGATGTAGGGAAATAACGGCTGATAATTCGAGCATTTCCGAAATGACGCCTCAGCAGCTGTTTCACGGCATGTGCAATGTGCGGAGGAGCGCCATCTTGCATAAAAATGATTTCATCCACACATCCATGTTATTGCAGAGCTGGAATCACGTGGTTGCACAAAAAGAGACGCATACCTCTGACCAGTGACGGTTGCGGGAACAGGACCAGAAGCACCCGTTTGCTCGAAAAAATATGGTTGTAGGATGAATGATGCCGTAAAGCCACACCATACCGTGACCTTTTCAGGATGAAGTGGTACGGGGTGCGTTGCCAGTGGATTTTCTGTTGCCCATATTCGACAATTCTGGGTATTCACGTATCCTGTCAGATGGAAATGGGCTTCATCTGTCCACAAAATTTTCCACGGCCATTCATTATCCACTTCCATGCGAGCCAGGAATTCTAACGCAAACGTCTCCCTAGCTGTCAGGTCAGACGGAAGCAACTCCTGCACATGGCCAATTTTGTACAGATAGCATTGCAGGATGTTTCGTACAATTTTCAACACTGTGCTCATAGGCCTGTCCAATGTTCGGACAATTCCTCGTGCACTGCATGGTTGCACACCACCGGCCGACCCTTCCTGTAATGCTGTGGCCACTTCTTCAACTACCGCCGAATGCACTCGTTTTCTCCCTCTACCAGATTGCACATCAAACGAGCTTGTCGTTTCGAATTTTTGCATCATTTTCTTTAGACCTACGACACTCATTGGACCAACGCCTTCTTTTATACCGTTCAGTGTCCTGAATTTTTGCAGAGCTACTCTTGACAATCATCATTCTTGTAATACAGCTTTACCAGCAGAGCGCGGTCCTGCAGTGAAACACCCATGGCGAACGTCTGAGACGCGAAATGAGGAACAGCCTGGTGGCTTTATAACACTGAAATTTAACTAACATTTTAATTTACGTCTTCTTTCGCTTGCAGCGCCATCTGTTGCTAACTTTTGAAACTAAATTTTTTATTCTGCCATACGCTTTCCGCCTTCTTCAATAACATTCCTTTCAAATTTGACGTCATTTTCATGAGTGGTTCTTTTTTTATAGCGGTTTGAAACTTAAACTTTAATTATAATCACCCTGTATATATAGATATAGATATAGATATAGATAGATAGATAGATAATGTAAGAAAGGCGTACTAACGAAACTAAAAAGGACCTGTGAGGTCAAGAATTTTGCGCATTGAGCTGCAAAATTTGAAATAAAATTAAAAAGTAAATTCTTCAGGCTATAGCCCATGAGCTATATATATACTATATATAGTGTTATAATATATATACAGAGAGTGTTATAACATATATATATATATAGAGAGAGAGAGAGAGAGAGATGATATAATAAAATACGATAGCTATGCATCCAAATAATTTGCGACTTCAAAACTGACTATTCTAAATTTCGTGTTCTCTCTCCTAAGTTCCTCTGTTCTCCCAAATTCTAGATATTTCCACGTTATATAACAACCTAAAATTAACAAATCACAGTTATACTTATGCACCTACTTAGTATAAATACTGCTTCGCAAGCAACTACGTCATTTCTTTTCTTAATTTCTGCCCTGCTAACATCTCTACGCTGCTTATGCTTTCCTGTTTAAGATGCTTACATCGTACTTTTTAAACCAGATTTAGATTGTAAAAAGGGATTTCTAGTGTACATAAAATTTATCATAATAAACAGTGTACATAAAAATTATGGTATTTAACTATGATTGGATAAATCTTTCATTTATTAAAAATTATCTATTAAAATAATTTGATATGTGTGAATATAAAGATTGGTGACTCATCAAAATCCAGTTTTTGTTAATTTCGTCTGCATGCATTCACCCTCAGCCATGACGATTATCGAAACTTGTCTTCTACGCAGTTTAAGATATTACATACTTATATATATTATATATATAAGTAAATTCTGCTTATTAATAAGGATTAATAACGAAATTATTAATTAATTATTATATATATAATATATTGATGTTTGTTTATAATAATTTATAATAATTATATATACTATATTAATATTTTATCTTCAATAAATTAATATAAAATCTGCATTTTTTTAATTAACATTCATGAACACTGGGAATTGCGAAAAAATGAAGATACTCATATTGATAATCCAGATATTTTCAGAAAGCAATGTATATGCCATCATAGTTCTCACAGGAAAGTTGGTAGAAAAATTATCAGAAACAGTGTCTTAACATTGTTTCTGCTGGCACACTGTAAAGCTTTTGTGAAAATAATAATTAAGAAAGACACAAGACGCAAGGATAAATTCGCCCAAGTAAGTTCCGTGTAGATTTAAGTTTGCTTATGTAAGCATAAAAGTAGTGTTTGTAATTATGAGGTTTTCCTCATCCACAACCAACTGACAAATGGAGAATTATGAAAACATAAGAATAATAAAAGCAAAAAAAAAAAAAAAATAAGAATAATAAAACATAAGAATAATAAAAAAAATTACCTTAATTTGGCATTAATTTTTAATAAAACTCTGTCAACTGCATGAGACAGTCTTTGTCTTTTCCAGGAGCAAAGACGTTTTTCTCGTGAAAACGTCTTGCTTTTTACATTGCTATATTTCTGTTCCATTTGTCATAATAGCTTACATAAGCATACTTATGTTACTGTAGTTTTATGCACGTAAAAGTCAGTTGTTTTATAATATATGTTTTGTTGACTTGTATAATACATACATATATGGGCGACTATATAAGTACATATCTCTTACAATAACATCTACTCAATTATCTGCCTGGAAAATCATTAGCAAGTCTGATAGGGAATCATCTCTTCTAACAAGGAGATATAAATTAGGTGCTGTATTTCATCAAACATAGCCCATTCTCACTTGGCAAACATAACTCATACATAGCCCATTCTCCTCATCTTGACTGGATACAATTTTACATTAGAACAGTAGAGTAATACTTAATATTCAGAAACAAACATTAAATCGTTATACACAGATATAAAAAGTACACTTTAATTCTGTAAAACTATATGTACACTGCGCAAAAAAAAAAAAAAAAAAAAAAAGGATTTTTCCATATTTCTCGTTTTAATGGACCGATTGACGAAATTCAGGTTAAATTTTACATGTCTCGAAAGCGCGACGTTGGATATATATTAGCTTTATATATAAAATTGTTCTAATACAGATATTTTGACACGAAATAACATGCCAATTTTTTTCCACATTTCGATTCTACGACACAAATTATGCCTAAATATTCAATTTTATAAAATTTGGTGCGAAATTTACGAAGAAATTCAAAAATTTATCTTGTCTCGTTTTTTTTCAGGTTGTGCCAAGAATAATTCACTTGGCGGAATTCTTAATTTATATTAACCTACTTACTTTTTTCCATGCATGCACGAGAGGAAAAAAGATCCATCTTTCATTCTCTCAAATAATTTTAATAAAGTGCGTAAACTCCATTTTAGTTAATATCGCTTATTTTAAAAACGCCAAATTTCAAAACGCGCCAATATGTAAATTCATATATATCTTAGAAAATTTTGAATACAAAACTGTACTTTTTTACAGGTGTGCCTAGAAATACATCTACTTTAACATGAGGTTAAAAATTTTATAGGTTATAATATAAAATGTTTTTCGAAAAAATTATAAAAAATATTAAAATACAAATTAAAAAAATAAATCATAAAAAAATGTACGAGTTATATTTGGATTAACCCTAAATTTCGAATTCTGGAAGAAGGACTCAAGTAAGTTTAATAAAAAAAGAAATATTAATAAATATATATCAAATTCAATTAACATTGAGGAGCTAAAGTTGTGAGAGCTAATTCTTTTTAAAAACTACTCGTGCGATTTTTACACAACTTGGCAGTTTGGAATACTTTGAGTCATGAAATCGAAATATGGAAAACTCATTTCAGAAAAAAAAAATCCGATTTTGTGTCAAAAATACCTGTATTAGAACAATGCTATATATAAATCTAACACATATCCTAAGTCGCGCTTTCGAGACATGAAAAACGCAAGTTGAATTTCATCAATCGGCCCAGTAGAACGAGAAGTATAGAACTCACCCAGTTTTTCAGGAGTGAACATTCAAAGAATGCACTTCGCAAAGCACAACAGCCGAATGCAAACAAACGTCAGTAATGTGACATCATTCATGTGGGCGGAGTTAATGGTGACCCTCATCTGGATTGTTATTAGCCTAATTCAAGCCGTTGTCCTAGCTGTGTACATTTTGCTTATATGCGACCCGGGCTTGAATTTCGGAGAAGATTCGAATGGTTGTAAACGTATAGCGTCTGTGGGCATGGGGAGGGACACTCTAAATATGCGGCGAGCCGAAAATCCTCTTGAGAGGTTCATGGCTGAGGAAGAGGGGTGAGATGGCCTCGAACTCGTCCGTCCAGGGTGCTCTCTCTCAAAATTGGAGGCAGAGCTGAGCTAAAGTCGGGCCGTCACGTATATGGTGTTCAAGGCTCTTGTCAACAGGCGCACTTGACTCCTTACCACGATGAATCTCGTGAGCTTGTGTTGACCTTCGCCAGACAGGTGGCACTGGTAATAACAACCACAAGCCACGTTTTACATATTTCTAAGATACAAATAGAGGATTTATTGAAAATAAATACGTACTGATATATTATATATTTGTAGGCATAAAACCTACACACTACACAATTCATGAGAATAAAGATATATAAAAAAAAAAAGAAAACACATAAAATTAAGTTTTAAGCGCATAAAATTAAATTTACTAATGTAAAGAAATATCAGAAGAATTTTTGTAAAAAATAGATAAAAGGATGTATGCTTCCTTGCCTAAGACTATGTTAGATTTTCCACGTTTCGAAGTATGTGTGTATTAACGAGAATGAAACTGGGAATTGTTTAGAAAAGAAATTAGTATTTTTTTTACAGATGGCGCCAATGCAGCTACCACTGCCTGCAAATCCTAAGCGGACGAGCCTTATTATATTGCTGCCATCTGGAGATAGTTCAAAAGAAGCTCATGGAAGATGGTCACCTCAAGATCTTAGTTGCTGCTTTAGATTCCACCCATGATCCCGTGAGTTTGTTGATGCCTCTATTGAGGCTCATAAATCGACGCTTGCAGTATTGATTGACGTGACTGTATTTGTTACTGGGTGTAATAATTCTCATCAAAGAGTTTCGAAGTCATATACTTTTAAATTATGTTTTAACCTACGTATTTTATAATTGAGTATTTTATTTACTAACGTAGTTACTCGTATAGAACAATTTAAGTGATTGTGTGTATTTCCATTAAATAATTTCAAAAAGCAGGAGTAAAACTTGCGTATATTTATTTATCTATCTTAAAAACATTGTAAAGATACAAAAACTGTAAACCCTACTCAGGCAGTACTCAAACACTACTCAACTCGGCAAAAGAATCGAGCTTTAGCATACACAGACAATTTTACCGACAGCTAGAGGGGAGAAAAAAGAAGAGGTTGAAAAAGATGAGTAAACAACACCAAACGCGTAGCAAAACAGAACACGGGTTCCTTGTGATCTAGTGAATAAAACAGCCTAATCAAACAAGGAAACCTTTGTTTAGACTCTAGCTAGAACGCAGAATAGAAACAACAGTCATAATTGACAATGGTATTCATCATACTACAGTAAGAAATGTAGTGCATGGATTATTATGCGCCTTCGTTGCATCACAGATCCAAACCTCTGATCCTACCAAGTTTAAATTTATATCTTAAAATACAACATAGATATTCGCGACAACACTCAAGGAATCACACATCTGTATTAATGTTCAATAAAATAACACGCGCGAATATTCTCATTTTGTTTATTGCTAATAAATTAATTCTAATTCATCGATTTTTATGCAACATTTGACCTCGTTTCTTTTCATAATTCATGTAGCTTTGCATGAAAAATCTATAGTTTGGAATATTCAGAAATGAAACTTTACATCGCAAATTAGTAAAAACATGTAACAAAATTTATTCCTGCGTGCAATCGAATTTTGTTATTTTTGTTTAAGAGACATAGGGATGTGTTTTAAACGACTTCAAGTACTATAGCAAATACGTGGATTTATATTCTAATAGAAAATATTATCGTATTTGCTTGTAATGAAAATTACAAGTATAGCTAAAGTAAACTATCTCATTCAGGAATGAAAATATTGAATGGAAACACAGATAGAAATACATTTATTGAATTTCACTGAGTCAGGCTCAGCTAAATGATATTATATATCAAATTCAACTGAGTTGAAATACAAAGTGCATCTACAAAATTTTAGGATTAATTTCTTAACAAATTCCGGCAAACATTCCAAACTATATTTCACAGAATTTATTACTATGACATTTTAAATTCCTCTTCCTAATATATCGTCTGCTTAATAAATTATAAATCTTATAAATTTTCCATCCAATTAACCGTTTGATTTCATTCAATTTCTATGACACTTCGACTTGCTCTTCCTAAAATATCGTCTCCTTATCGAGAAAGTTTTCTATTCAAATAGGTGTTATATTTGAACCAATGAATATCTGCTGTTATGGATTGAAAAACTGGGCAAAGAATAGCAATAAGGCTTTGTTGTAAAGCGGCAAATAAAGCAAAATGTTTGATACAAACTGTATTTGGAGATGAAACTCGTTATTTTGCTTCTAATCCTCAGGCAAAATAGCAATAATCTGTTCTGGCTGAAGAAAATTCGCGAAAGACTTAGAACATTCGGCTTAAGAAATCTACAGTAAAGATCATGTTAATCGTATTTTTTATTCGCATGAATTTATTTCTGAGAGAAAAATGATGAACTCCATATTTTATACAGATGTAATAGGCAAACGTTTGAAGAGAATTTAGAGCGTTAGGCCTGTGTGACAATGTACAACCATACAATCCCATTCCTGTCAAGCGGTTTTCAGCAAGGAAAAAGAGACCCCATTTCTCAACCACCCTCCTTATTTACCAAATGTAGTTCCTATAGACTACTTTATCTTCTCTAAAGTGAATTCTGATTTCAAAGGTTGTTACTTTTAATAGCATTGAAGAGATTAAAATCTTAACCAGAGACTTAAACAGTATTCTAAAGTTGAGATCTACGACACAGTGAATCCGGCTTTAGCTGCATGAACGTGCAGAATGCTATATAGATTTACAAGGCTTGTATATTAAAGGCTGTGAATTTAAAATGCTTTTTTCAGTTTGCTGTTCTTTCAATTTTATACTATCTTAGTTCTGAAACTTTGTAGACGCACTGCGTATGTAGCACTTTCTATAAGGTATACAACCATTATAAGGCAGAGTCTTAAATAATATGTTGTTACGTAACTTTAAAAAATTAACCCTAAATCTACCCATAAATTTATCATAAACTGGGAAATTTAGGTTGGCAGTGTAAATTTAAAAATAGAAACATTAATAAGACCGGTGAATGAATCTTTTTTTTATTATGGGGAGTGGACGTAATAACCACAACTCTACAATGTTTTGGACGCATCCCTTATTACTGCTTGACATTCACTGCATTAAAAATACCATGAATTCTGAATCTATAAAAAATTCGTATTTTTATCTTCAAGAAAAATATTTTAGCATGGGTTATTTGTTTCCTTGCCTTTTGTTTATTTTTATTCTTTATCACTGCATTAGTAACCCATATTTTACTGTGGTATGCTTTATTCCACGATATTTCTGCATCTGTAAAAATTGTATAACCAATGACATGCATTGCCTTGTAGGATTTTACTTTATTTTTCTAACAGTAATTTTTAGTTTAAGACAGCCTTTCCTGCTTTCATTTTTCTACGCATGTTTTCCTAAGAGAATGAGTTTTTAGTTTCACGCTTTATGCAAAATAGGGAAGAAACCCCTATTTTTTTAGCTGAAATCTGAGGTACTTCAGCTAGAGAGCTAGCTAGAGAGAGAGAACGTGTTCTGCCGTTCGGCCACGTTGTTGTACGAGTTAACCATTTGCGGCACAGTGTGTCCGGTCTGGACACACCTAAAAATTTCCTTCTGTAAGCACAGAAAAATTGAATGAACAAGGATTTATAAGTTACTATAGGTTACACTGAACCTTCTTTATTTATAGTAGATGGCAGTTCAACACAAATCAATCCATATATTTTAGCCATGTTTAGTTTTTTAAGACCCTCATTTTTCAAAGAAATCTTCCAGATTTTTTTAGGGTATAAAAGGAATTGTTTGAAAAGAAATTTCTATGCTATTTTTTTGGCTGTATGCTAATCTCCTTATTCTATATTAGTTTTAAATTTTTACCTTGAAATCTTGCCTAAAATCAAACGGCGAACCCCAAGTGTGCCTAGACCGGGCTCACCGATAATGTAGGACAATTGAGAATCTGTATTCTTTGCTTCCCTGCATCTCATCGGTCAGTTCATTAACAACAATGCTCGTTTTAGCACTCTTTTCGAAGCTCTATTTAATCAGTGTAATTAAAACGATAGGTGCTATCTTGACAAAATTTTACTTGTGTACTCCTCTAGGCCTATTTAGACTCCCCACTTTTTTTTTTTTTTTTTTTTAATTAAAACTACGACTTTAAAAGGTAGCGTGCAGGAAAGGGTTAAAGCTTGCTAGTTTCCGGGCCGTACTTATTATGCGCCTGTTAGTCTACTCTGGTGATTTTTAAATTAGAGCCAACTACACAGTAATAACTCTGTGCAGCTTAGGCTGTGTAGTTCTATTTAGCCTTTCAATTTTAATTTTAGCATTTTCAATTTTAAGTTCAAGCGAGAAGTGTTGACTTTCTGTACATCCAAGAGGAACCGTACGCCACGGAGTAGGCTTCCGTCCTAGAAATCCATGCGGAATGATGCTTGTTCGGTGGAAGAATCTCAGGGTAGGACCTCAGACATTATCTCAGACGTAAATTTATTCGTCGTCACTGAAGAGTTTCAGGGACAGGGTAGGTTATTTTTGTTTAGTCACCTTGCATAGGAATGCTACGATTATTCGTGTGGGGGGATTAATTTAGACAATAATATGCCTTCGTGTTTGAATCACTAAATAAGTCCATGGTCATAGCAAAAAGGGCCAAGAGGGGCCCGTCTGTAAATATCTTGAGTTTAAATAAAAGGGTGTTTAAGTTCTTCTGAGTTGTTATTTAAGCAACAAGAACTTAGCGAACAGTCGCTATTCATTTCTACTATGTTTTATTGTGGCATTTAAATAAGCCTATACTTATAATAAGAACAAATTTTTGCTGTCCCAATTATCGAATATGGTTTTATATTGTACAAACATAAAACATTTGGATCTTATTTTTGATCAAAAGGAATTAATGCATCCACTCGTTTCAGCAACTTCTGTGCCTTGTGCTGCAAGCTGTTTCCATCCTATCGATGACTCCGGCATATCACAGGCAACTGTCGGATTCCGGTTTGACGGACAATCTTACACAACTGGTGCTACCTTCGGATGAGTGGTACTACACTAATCATTCTACACAGTATGCCCGTTACGTGAAGCACCACGCAGCAAGGGTCCTGGTTTACTTGGGACAAGATCTACACGTGAAAATTGATCTCTTTGACAAACTTGGTATACTGTTCTTCATAAGAAGAATTTCTCAATTAATATATATCATTGTTTCAACAAAGAGTTTTTAACTGTTCATGTTAATTTAAAACTTTTGTTTTATTAACTACACTGCTGGCCGTTAAAATTGCGACACCAGGAAGAGATGATCTGACGAACGTCAAAATCACATGAAAGGAAGAAGTTGGGAGATGCAAATGATCAGTATTTCAGCGCATTTAAACGACGCAGAAAGGAGAAACGACATCTGAAGCACTGCATAAAAGAAAAGTTGTGTAGTAGATTTCTCATTCGGAATGTGCTTTGTAAGGTCAGATTTTGCTCAGAAATCATGTTATGCGTCGAATAGGAAGAGGAAATGCTTACCAGCAAATTTCAAAAATTCTATAGAGGCAAGATCGTTGCCTATCGAAAGTGTAGATTATCGTTCCGTGATATCGCCGGTCGCACTGGTCGACATCCAAGCACTGCCATGCGAATATGAAATCAATGGACTCTGATGGTCACACTGAACGGCATGCAGGATTTCAACGCCCTCCCATGACTAACGCCAGAACGGACAGGCATATTGTGAGGTTAGGCCTGCAAAACCGTACGACCACATCACGGACCATTATTCAGGAAATGGGTATGTTTGCACCACGCACAGTATCAGTTCATAAGGTGCGTCGACGTTTACAGCAGCGTGGACTATCAGCACGGTGATCATCACTTCGACTTCCCTTGACAATGCAGCGTAGAGAGAGACGGCAACTCTGGTGCCTTAAACGACAAAGCTGGTTACAGGAGTTGCAGAATGTCGCCTTTTCAAACGAGTCCAGGTTCTGCGTTCAGTATTTTGATGGCCGTATACGTGTCTGGAGTGTTCTAGGATACCGTACGTCGCCTGCTTGCATTCGATATCGGAATGTCATCCAAGCCCAGTTTGACTCCATGCCTAATGGGTAAGGCCAATTTTAGCTGCCAGGGATAGCAGTTGTTTCTATTAATTTCCCATCCCTGTAAGCCTGCAAAATGCTTACAAATTTAATCATTTTATATTCATGCCATAATGTTTACGTGCAATAAATATCGTTTTTTTTAATTTGCTTTCCTTCATGGTGTTGCAATTTTAATGGCCAGCAGTGAATATTTTAGAAGATGAATGCATTTCTGATGGCAAATGCAAGAAGGATAGGCATAAAAATATTAAATTAAAAAATAAAAACCTTATTAAGATACTATTAATCACATCTTTTGCTTCTAGTAAACTCAAATCAATTACAAAAATAACTTTAGAGTAGAAATTTAGAATTTAAATTCTCGTTAAACGAATTTAAAATTTAAATTCTCGTCTAATTTTTACCTTAGATATAATTTTCTGCTTCTGCTTCCTCATGTCTTCTAAAAACGGGAAAATGCAACCACCTTGAAAGGAGATATATTTACTAAATATATGAAGAGAAATATCCAATAAATAATACTTTTTTTAGGATTGTGTTTAATTTTATACTTTTAGGATCCTGTTAAATTTTCTATTTATTTTTTTTTATCTTTTTGCGAGTAATTTTTATAAAGCCTTCAAAATTCAGTATCCAAGTAGTTATTAATAAAATTCACATTGAAATCACTTGTTGATAGTTGAAGGAAACCTTTTATTTGATATCAATAGTAAAGAATAATTTTTACACTTAAAATGTGAAATATGTTCTTTTTTATACTGTAAAGAAAGGTGGAATTAAACTAGTTTACTAAGGCTCTAATAAACTACAAACTTTCATATAATTTCTTATATAGGAAATACATTATTTTAACCCATTAACTGCCATGATTCCCATTTTGGAATTTGTTTTAGTAGAGGACATTTGGTAATTTTAATTAGGTTGGCAACAATGGTTACTTTTTTACATTGTTCTTTAAACCTTTCTCAGGGTTTAGCATGAGTTGTTGAGTAGTAGTTATTAAATGAGTGAGCTGGAGAATATTATTTGTAAAAAGAAGCAAAATGTTTTCGAGTTTCATGATTTCAGCATTTTCAGAACGCCCGGTATGTCAAATTATTATGTACATTTCCAACTCCTGTGTACTGACGTGTTCTCTAATGGTTTTAGAATATATTTGCTAACTATTTATTGTCAATGTGAATTTATTTTCCCGTGAGGGCTACTTGAATCTCATTCCCCATTTGAAGCTCATAGCAGATTCCATCTATATTCCAGTCTTAAGGTTATAAGGAATTTCTCCCGCCTTCTTAGCATGCCTTCGTAGTGTAATGGTCTGCACGCTGGGCGCGTATTCCTGAGGTCCGTGGTTCGATTCCGGGGAAGGCTTTGCTCATTTTTCATCTCTCCTGTTTTCAATTAACCTACTGTCTCTACAGTGGCGCTCGAACTAAAAGGGTGATGGATGATAATTCTCCTCACCCAGGATATTGGGTCCCTTAAAAAAAAAACCAGTCGCCCTTTAAAAGGGGAAGTATGTAAGGTATTTCTCCCGCCTTCTTAGCATGCCTTTGAAGTGTAGTGGTCTGCACGCTAAGCGCGTATTCGAGAGGTCTGTGGTTCGAGTTTCAGCGAGGACATTGCTCATTTTTCATGTCTCCAGCATCGAAATAATCTAATGTCTCTACAGTGACGCCCGAGCTAAAAGGGTGGTTGATGATGATTCTCCACCACCAGAATTTGGCGATTGGGTCCCCTACTCCCCAGTCGCCCTTTAAAAGGAGGAATATAAAGTATTTCTTCCGCCTTCTTAGCATGCCTTCGTGATGTAGTGGTCAGCAAGCTCGACGCGTATTCGAGAGGTCCGTGTTTCGAGACCCGGCGAGGGCATTGCTCCTTTTTCATTTCTCCAGCATAAATAACCTAATGTCTCTACAACTTTCTTGCTTCAACAATTTTTTTTTTCCTTTCCCATCAAAATTGTAGAAACAAAAACAGAAATTTATTGAATATTTTATCTCAATTTAATAAACTGTACGGAAGTTAATTTTTGTTTTGTGTTTTGCATTTTTCAAAGAATTTTACTAAAAGAGAGAACCAGTGTCGATAATCATCATTAAACTGCTTATGATCTCTGTTCACATGAGAACAGGGAAACAAAACTCACTTCAAACGCTCCGCTAGAGCTAAATTTTAGGCTAAAAATAAATTAAATAAATCAAAAACTGTAAAAGTCGGTTACAGCTTTTGAATGTGGAGATAATTAGATCATCTGAAACGAAATGTCGGAAGCTATTAATAATATTAGCTCTTAATGCAGTGTGTCTGCGATTCATGGTTTAAACGCGCTTCAAATTCTGTCTATAATTGATTTTGAAAAGTTGCATTTTATGACAGGATGCTATCAAATACGATCTTCACGCAATTTCAGAGAAATTAAAAAAGTGATGAAGTTAAGCATTGAATGAAATTTAACATACTTAACAATTTTCATGTCACATATTTACGGAGCTTGATTTGCCAATTTGCGCAGTACAATGTAAAGAAATATATCAAGCATTGCATCTTGTATCGTTTATACGATAGGAATACAATCGTTATAAATCTGTGACTGCTTTTCTGTCCTTGAACCAGAAAACTGATTGTTTAACGCTTTTAAAAGAAAAAAAAAAGATAAAAATATTGAGTTCCAGATCTTTAAGATAAACAGAAGATAAACAGAAGTTTAAAAACATGAGGTTTGTAACAGGTTAGAAAAAAACCGTAATTTGTAATGAAAAATATTTTTTTTTAAATTTCGCATTTATTCTTTTTATAAAAAGTTATTTATTCCCTTTATTCGAGAACTATGTGCATAATTTTTGTGATATATTGGATATTTCTAATTCTTGTGTTTCAAGATATAGGGAAAAATCTTGATTCAATGAATTTTATGGCCAATACGGTGTGATTTGTTGAATCCTGTTTCGATTTTATATTATATTGGATAAAAAACAATGCAGTGAAAATTTTCAGATTATTTGCTTAGAACTTTAACTTTCCTGAACTCAAATAGAACGAGTTTGTTCCGGATTCAAATCAGTCCACAAAAAAGATGGTTAGGTACGCACTCCATGAAAACGTACTTTCTTTGAAAATCTATGTTTAAAATGCTATTCAAAAGTTTTATCTCTTCCGCCCAAAAAAAGAAAGAAAATTAAGAGAAAGTAAACAATTTCTTGCAAAATTGCAAGAAACACTATCTAGAAGAGTTCTTCTTTCACGATTTTACTTCCTTAGTAAAGTATATATTAAGATTCCTACCCTACGTAAATGGTTACCTACGTAATGATTAAGTCCAATATATCTAGTTTATACAGTATATCTACACGTCCACACAATAGGTTCCTGACACATTAATGAAGCTGATCGTTTCTTGATGTCTTTATTTCATTCAAAAGAAACTAGGAAATGTTCCGTGCCCTAGGACGCTTTTCATTGTAACTAAGCGCCTTGACAAGCTAATCCTTCTTTGTTTTGGGAAACTTTCGTAAATAGATTTTGATTAATTAGCCTTCAAGCGCATGTTACGCACGCGAAATGTAATGAAATAACCATTATATGTAATACAACCAATGTTATAAAATCCATAAATTATATTTTCATATGGAAAAAATTGTTAAAAATTTGCCTTTCGTTAAATACAAGTTTTAGGTTCATACTCATAGGAATTCAACATTGGCGATTTTGGTCGCTTCCCATGTGCTATTTGACTGCACAAGGAGAATCTGAACATAATTTACATAAATAAACATTCGACATTACTTGCGCTAATTTGAGATTCATTTTATCTAACTGAATGTCAGAACGCCGTATTATCCGAAAAGATTAAATATGTTGGATAAAGGACTGGAGACGAAGACTTATCGGCAGCATTTATGGATAACTTTCTCTAAGAAAACTGAAAAAATGGTGTAAAAGGAAATTTCTCTGTACTTGGAGAAAAAAGTATGATAAAATTGTAAGACTTAATTAAAATGAAGAAAATGACGACCTAATTATCATTAGTATATAAACTTGAAAATAACTGGAAGATAAATGTCTTCCTAATGTGTCTATTTACAAAGAGTCCAAAGAGAGGCTCAGCTAGTATATGAAAAGTTAAAAAATTTCATTCGTACTTCTGCAAGGTTGTTTGGAATGACCATAGGCACTTTAAGTGTGTGTGTGTGATTATGGCAAAGCCTCGAGGGCTATCTCCTTAAGAGGAGGAATGCCTTCGTGGAGGACCTTCTAAGGAAAACTGGCTCGTATACACGTTACACATGGGGAAAACCACAAAAACGCCCATAGCCAGCCCGTTCGAGGAATTCGAACCTCGGACCGAACTACCAGTGTTCAGCGACTTTACCGCTCGGCCGCTGGTGGGCCGTAGGCACTTTAAGTAAACTGAGCAAAATGTGTTCTCAAGAGGCAATTTTCATAAATGTTTTTAACAATGCAGTGTTTCTTAAATTTTATAAACTTAAAACAGCTGTTGTGAAATTATTTTCACTTGTTCCGAAATTTTTAAATAATTAGCCACACTTTTTGTAATAAATGTGTGGAATTAGAAGCGATACACGCCAAACTGATACGGCATCTCTTCTATTTTACGTTTTGCTTACACCAGAGTGAACTGAAATTAATTTACTTGCAAAAATTATTAATCTGAATGTAAAACAACTAAAAAGATAAATCATAAAAAGATAACTGTTATAAAAACATGTATGTACCATAAAAACCCAAAAGCGTTTTCTTTTTCTCTCAAGTTCTCAAGTCCTTGAATTGTTTGTATTGTAGATGATGGGGAAGTCTCGAGCGACTCACCAGAAGATGAGTACATCCGGAAGACATCCCTGCCGCCTTCCCAGCGCGCTTCGGCCTCCCTTGAGTATATAATACTCCTCATGTTGAAGGATATCCAGGTAACTCTTTTGCTTTCATTCCCCCTTCCCGAAGTGTTCAACTGCTGAATAAGTGAGCTTTCCTGTTTTAGAGGAGGATTCGCACAGGAGGCCCTTGGGAGAACATCCAGCGAGGTAAGCGCTTTTATGTATACTCAGTTTTATCGCGAGATTCATGGAAGAGCGGTTGTAACGAGTTTCATTTCGGTTGCAGAGGAGAGCTTCTCATTTTACCTGACGGCACTGCCACTGATCGTGCACCCTCTTATTGTTTTCCGCCTCCTCAAGCATCGATTGCTGATGTCACTCAACAAAGGTTCAGGCGAGAATCGGAGCCGTGCTTCATCCGCGGGAAACGAAGAAACCTTACGGCTCCGTAGACAGAACGATTCCTCTCCGAATTTATGCACAGGACGATCTTTGAGGGGTCTGTCCTTCTTGCCCCTTCTAGAGACTCCAACTACACAAAGCTCAATGGACTGTTCTGCCAGCCCATCGCCCTCCTCCAAAAGCAAAAGAACGTTTCGTTTTTCCAGCTTGCGGAGGAAAAAAACAAAGACGAGTACTGAGAATACATTCAACTCCTCACACAGCGACACCAGTGAAGCTGATATTGTTGCTTTCCAAAGAGAACTCCAAAACCTTCCTACCCACCACATCAAGGTAAATAAGTAAACAGATAAACAAAATAAAATGATAATTTTTATTGTAGTATAATTAACATTGAAATCAAATTTAAATAAAACAATAGACTAAAATTATGTCTAATATTTGCTCTGCAATGTGATCCTATCGTAATAGAAACCATGCTTATTAATAGGCCAGGATAAGTATCAACTCTGTCGTCTAAAAAAAGGGTCTGAGAATTCTGGTTTGTTGTGCAAATATATCCAGAGCTGGTATTTTTGAAGTAAAAAAATCTTATGATCATAAATGAAATAGCTTAACCACCTTGCCATTTTTTTCAATATTTAACTTTTTCTAGTGTTTTACATTGTATGTAATACATAAACAGTCATGACAGTTCTTAACTTGTAGAATAGAATTATTAAGTTTATTATGGAACAGGAAAGGTAAGACAAACCCCTTACCGGAATTCGAATTCTAGACATATTGGTTGCTAGCCAAACACGCTTTCCAATTATAACAGTGATGCACGCGTTAAAGAGGAAAACATACCTTACATTCTGCTCTACTTAAAGGTGACTAGAAAGAAAGTAAATCCTGGTGGTGACGAATCATCGTCCACTACCCTTTAGACCTCTGCTACCACTTACGCCTGACATTTCTGGCCGTCGGTTCCCATGCAATTCTTAACCCTTATGATGTGCCCTACCTCCCCCAGAAGTTTGTCGTAACATTTACGGGACACCCTGTATATTTCTTGGGTGCAAAGGTGAGTACATCAAGCCGATTATACAGAAGTCCTGTGCTGGCCTTCGGGAAATGGCACAGAAAAAGTTTTATCGATTCCTGGATCCCAAACCTTTCAAGTCCTGCACATATGGATTCCAAACTGAAACTCCTGCCGAACAGTTAAACGGATTTTCGGATTCAGATTGGATGACTGGACAGAACAAATCATCAGTTCTCTCCTCAGTTGCATTTAGGTGAGAGGGATGAAAATACTTAATACGTTCTTCCCGTGTAGTCTTCTTGGGCAACGGTCAACACGTTGATCCTTTTATTCAAAGGTCCAAGTGTTCTCAGCAATATAACTTTACAATAAATCGTCACCACCTGGATTTGGTTAAATAGTAGATCTCATGCTATTCCCTAGTAACCTTTTAAGTTAGTGAGGATGTAAGGAATTATCTCATTCCACCATGTGTGCTCTTATGGTGTGAGTGCAAATGGGAAATCCATGATTCGTTTCTAGGCTAGATCAAAGTCAAGTTTTTACGTCTTCCTCTTCGTAGCGCCCTCTCTTGGGCCAGTGGACAAATAATAATAATAATAATAATGATAACGAGTTCACCACAAGTTAAATGGTCTCAACATAGTATAGCGTCAGGTACAAACGCAGACATCTGAAAGCATTTTAAAATGTACGTTTTGATTTATTGAGAGTATTAATTATTATAAAATACAGGGATATTATTAATTAGCATTGAACAGGTTCTTTTCTTTTCCTAAGCTGTGAGGACTTGCGAGAAAATATAATCGTTAAAAAAATTAAAAACTCCACTTATTGCCCCCATTGCTTCGTAAATACATTGCATTCTTATCATGCATGGCAATGATAAATTAGCTAATGAGGACTACAAACTTCCCACGGTGATCTTGCGAATATCACAAAACTTCACCCTTTCTCAATACCCTTGAAGTTCACAAATTTGTGAACTTCAAAAATTGTGAAAATTCTAAACAACTTCTGAAACTTGATTCTAGCCTAATGCTTCCTGTTTATAATTACGCCACATTATGTTCGCTTCAATGTTATCCGCATTTCCGTCTACTGTTTTAGAGACAGAGGGCTCCCTGACTCGAGAACTCGAGATAATGCGGCACTGCAGAACTATATGCGGGTAACTGTCCTCATGATCGCGATTGCCTTGGGTCACTACGCTTGCTTTTAACACAGAGATGTCTACAGTAATACGATTGCTGTCTGCATATACTTAATCTGAATATCACTTCCTATTTCAGAAATTCGTCCATATAAACAAAGTAAAAATTATATATTTTATATTAAAGTTTACATAATGCTATAAAGAAAGCACGAAAATTCGGATTTCCTCTGTGATATGTATTGAAAAGTAAGTCAGTAAATTCATTCTCTTACATCTCAGCGAATTTTTCAAAAACGGAATGGAACTTCTTGGATTTCACTTATACCCCTGTTCTACCTATTGGTAGTGTTTTATATCTATTCTCAATAAATATAAAAATTTTAGCTCTGACCATTAACCATTATCAGTTTATTACACTTTTGTATCTTTTGAGTTGTCCGTTATTAAACCTTATTCTATATACATATCTTTAAAATAATCCAAAAGTGAAGAGTTCGAGCTTTTCACCGACAGTCACGTTTCGCTGAAATCCGCGCTTAAGCAATTTGCAATGAATTCTCTCCCAATTTTCCAATATCATTTTCGCCTTCAGTACTCATACCTTCTGCACTACTCTTTCATTCTTCACATTCAATTTAAAAGAAAATCAATGGTATTTGAATTAGGATATTTTTAAATATGGATTGGAATGTGACTTTTAAGTTGCGCTTTATGTGAATAAGTTGTAGGGTCCACTTGTTTATCTTCTAAGTGACAATTGTACGTGCAGTAACTTCTTGTAGGAACTACACAGGAGAAAGGTAACCCTTTATTAAATAAGTACCCTTTATTAAACTCTTTAGAATTTACAATGCGTCAACTTGACGCTAAGACACTACGCCTCCCTTGGGAGGTAACTGAAATAACCAGAAACTAAACTATAATTCGATAATGTTCACAAGTAGAAGAAATTAAGCTACAGGGCTCAGACATTAATCTTTCTTAAACCCGTGTCGAAACTCGTGGCAGCAGAGTAAATACTGTTATGCCACGTAAACCAGCAATAAGTCTGGGAGTAGAAGTTCCTGCAACAGAGGTGACGGCGGCAGCCTAACTCTGTCTAACTTACTTTCTAAAACTCGGTATTTAAACTTTTTCTCCTAAAAATAGAATTTGAATTTCTTCACATAAGCTACCAAATTTAAATATTCTGGCATTGACAATTAAGGGAATGAAGGCTTATAGGATAGGTTAAAATTAAAACTTAACTTGTTAGTCAAAAATAAATCCCTATAAAGTAACTATTAAACTTTTTTAATTCATAAGTTTAACTTAAATTGCTTAGGAAACAAAATTTAATCAGCAAACAGAAAGTTCAAAAGTTTACCAGTATTTCGAAATCACTTTAATTTTGATAAGGGTATCGCTTAACGATAAAACTACAATCGGTTTTCATTCACCGTACTTCAGATACGTTCGGAAATGATTGAATGTGTATCACGCAGATACTTTTCAATCTCATATATGCTCCTCTGTTCGTGTTCGCTTGAAATAGAATCAATAAGCCTGACGCTGAAAGGCATGTCGACATAAACAGAAAAAATCACTGATAGTGTTCCTGTTTGAATCGATTCAGTTCATCAAAGGCTGATTTCCCATCGAATGTAACTCTGGCTTCTAAACCAGTCTTCAGCTCCTGAAATTCAGCTGTACAATGTACAATCATAATAAACTTTTTCAACTGAAAATTTGACTTGATTGCTTACTAAATACAAGTCATCATCCCTGTATTTAAGAAACTTTCAACAAAATTCAGAACTACCAAGGACTACAAATTTTCATTTTTCTTTTTAATAGCGGAAGTCCTTCTCTTTCAGTGGAAACAAAAGCAGATGACAGTTTATTAAAGTTTTCAAAATTATAAGGAGTTCATAAATTTTGTTATTTTGAATATATACTTCGTTTTCCCTCGGAATTGCAAAATATGTATAAAAACTTGAGATCTGTTTCAGAAAGAGATAAACATTTATAGGTTTTATATTTATAGGTTTTAATATTTATAGGCCTTCTCTAGGACTGAAAGCTCTCCTTGCATGTCAAATTTTAGATATAAACCCTGACATATGTTATGTATTATTTAGCTCGCCCTGGGAGATACAAGAATATTCTGTAAATTAGTAACACTTAGCTACTTTCAGACAGCAAATAGAATTTAAAAAGTAAAATAACTACACTTCCGTAACTTATGCTGGCAAGCATTTTGTTAGAGTGTGTAATGATTAAAATCCACCAAGGGTGTTGATAAGCATGAAACACAAGCACCTGTTTCAATCGATGTTAAATATGGAAGCTATACGACGACGCCACTAAAAATTGAATTCTCTGGTTTTAAAATGGTCTAAGCCGATGGACTAAGACACTGTTAAAGGTTTGAGTGCTGCACTAACTTATAACAAAATTAGAAAATAAATAAACAAATAAAGACAAAAATATTGCTAAATAAGGCATGAAGCTAAGTTCTAAGAGGCAAAGGTATTTGGTGCTTTTTGTTTAAAGAAAAAAATTAACATCACGTGCTGGCATATAAACTGAGTCGAATAAATTAAATGGTTCATATTTTATCGTTTTATACTTTCTTAACGAAAAAATTTTAGATTACTGTTAATTATACTTGCACATAAAATAATTTCGTTGAAATGCTAAAGTTGATGAATTCTCGCTATTTATTAGGTTACATTCTAACCACACTCATATTAAATGCTGGGTTAGACTGCAAGACGAATTATCATTCCATCTTTAACTTAAAATCAAATAACGCAAACGAAAACAAATCAGACATTTATTTTCACTTCAACTTGAGGTTACAAGAAACTAGAATTTTCAGCAGAGTTTGACACCCCCTTCAACTTAATTATTTACAAAGCAACTATTAATTAAAGACTTAGAACGCGGTTATTTACGCTCCTTTTAGCATAATAACAAATGATAGGTTAACTCTCTAATAATCAGAATAGCTCTCCGTTCGGTAGAATCAAACATTCTGATAACTCTTCTGATCTGAGTAGCCAAAACAATCTTATTTAATTTAAACTATTCCTTCGCTATTTAAACTTATTTTATTTGCATTTTTGGTGGAGTTGGTGGAAGGTAGAAGTGCAGGAAATATTTAAC